CAAAGACCCCTCATTTTCTTCTCAAACGCACTCTTCATTCTACTCCTCTCAACTCCTCTTTTCTTTGATCAAGGATTTCCAAGGGATTTTGAAGTGATTTGGGTATAGAAAACAACCTAAGGCTTCTAAGGTAAGGATTCCTCCTTAAGTTGTGTGGATTTGTAGATTTTAGTTCATTTTGGTTTTGAGGGTTTTTTCTTTGGGTAAGAGTAGAGAGAATAGTCAAGAAAGCCAAGTGGAAAGAAGATTTGGTGAAGTCTTCCATAGCAAGTAAGTAAAACCAACCCAAGTTGAGATTCATGAAATTTCTTGATTAGGGTTTTGATAGAAATGATGTATGTATGTGATGTGCATGTAAATAGCCATGTATGGAGTATTAAATGGAGATTTCTATGCTTTGTGAATGTTTATACTTGCAAATATGAGAAATGGGTTGTTGAGAGTAAAGTAGTTGAGATGGAATTGAAGGGGTGTTATGGAACCTTTTTTTTGGAAGTGGGTTGTTTGACAGGTTATATGACTTGTGAAGGGATTTTTCCCATTTTGGATGGTTAGGAAAAAGTTTAGATTCATGGCTATGATAGAGTTTTATAGTGCACATGAGTTGTTTGATGAAATGCCTAATAGAGAATGAGTGTGAGTAATGAACCTTAATTCTTGCAACATTGCATGTTGGCATTTCACAAGTGCATTAGTGAGATGAATCATCCATGTGCTGTTAGACATTGACAAGTGACCCAAGAAAGAGTAGGAAAATTTGTGTATAGAAATACCCTATGAGTAGGAGTTAGTGGGTAAAATTCTCTAAGGGTAGAGAGCATTGAAAATGCTACTAATAGAATGAGTTAGAAGAGTAATTAGTTGGGATGATGCTTTGTATCATCACCCGACCGTTATGGGAATCGGATGATGCTTTGTGATCATCATCCGAATAACCTTAGAGAGATGGGTCGATGCTTAGTGATCGTCCCAATGAGTAATAGGAATGGGTAGATGCTTTGTGACCACTACCCGTAGTTAAGAGATAGCAGGTGATGGCTTGTGATCATCATCCAAAGGCTAGTAGAAGCGGGTTGATGCTTGTGATCATCACCCGATAGTGACTAGAGACGGGTAAATGCTTGGTTCATTCCCAAAATTCATGAGGAACGGGTAGGTGCAGGTGATTACACCCGATAGTTAGGAGGAACCGAGTTGGTGCTTTGTGTCTTCATCCGGTAGTCACTAAGAAAGGGTTGGTAATGTGTGAATTCCACCCGATAGCCATAGAGAGTGAGAGTGCTGGTTGTGTGAACGCCATCCGGCCGTACCTCCGGTAAGATGAGGCCATGATGGCATTAGAAACAGAAATAGAAACAGAATTAGAAAGGAAAGAATAAGAGTCACACACGGGGACAGACAGTTAGAGAGTTTTACTTACTGGGCATTATTTGTGCTCACCCCGTATTTTCCTTTGTGGATGCAGGTTCTAGGGTTGATGCGGTTGGAGGGGGTCGGCGGCGCGAGGAGCAATAGCTACAAATTCCCCTATTTGTTCTTTTAAAATGCACTTTTGTAAACAGTACCTTGTGTATAAAAGACATGTGAATTGTAATGAAAAGAAAACATTGGGCCCAATTTTCCATTGTTAATGCATGCATTGTACTAGTTTTCAGTAGGTGTTACAAGTAAGTTTGAGAAGAATTTCCTCTTTCCAAAACAGGAGTAGAGTAGGAATCACCAAGGTAAACACATTCTTCTCCATCCCTCACTGGTATTCATAGAAAGAATTTCTATCTCTAAATATGGTGTGTAGCCCATAATCAATTATCCATATTCTTTTAGCAATCATGTTCACTTGTGAGACAACCACAGTAGCAATAACATCACCTCCCTTAGCCAAATTAGCTTTAGAGTAGGAGGATTTTTGTTGTCTCTAGTTTTTTTGTATCTGCATTGGCTAGCAAAATGTATGGTTTTCCCACACATAAAACAATGTCCTTTCTTTTTGAAAGTGTTGGGGTTCTTGTTGTTAAACAATTTCTTGTTATTGTTCTTAACAACTCTGTAGTTTCTTGTTCTTAGGTTGATGAGGAGCCACTTAGTTTTCAACAACATTAGCCTTGGATGTCAATTCCTTGGCCTTATCGGCTTTATCTCTAAGCCTATTCGTCTCCTCAATCCTAATATGTACTATCACATCTTCTAAGCTCATTTAGTTCCTTTTATGTTTCATACTATTCTTATAATCTCTCAATGAATCTAGAAGTTTCTCAATTAAATAACCAGCCACAAAAGTTTAAGGAAGACTTATTTCTTCATTTTTTAGGTCATTTATCAATAAATGATAGTCATAGACTTACGGGGATACCTCTTTTTCTTCTACCATTTTAAAATCTAGGAAGTTTCCTATAACATATTTTTGTGATTTAGCATCCTCAACAACATATTTCTTTTTCAGGATTGTCCATATCTCATGCGCAGTTTTATAAGCGCAATAAACATCATAAAACTCATTCGACAATGTACTGAGGATAGTATGACGACATACCTTATTTCCTTTCTTCCATGTGTCAAGTTTTTGATCAAAATTGTCTACTCCAGGTTTTGGTTCTTCTGATGTGAAATACTCTGCAAAACTGAGCACGCCTAGGGAGTCGAATACTTTTTCTTGCCACCTCTTGAAATGAGCTCCGACAAGGGGCTGAATTAATTTTTCTAAATTAGGTACAAAGTTTATGGAAATTTGCAAGTCACGGACATAAGTTCCAAATCGTTCAATTGAGGGATATAAGTTCCAAACATTCAATTAGGGTTTTATTAACTTTGTGGGGCGATAAATATGTAATTATATAGATTTTAATTATTCCTTTTTAAAAATAAATTAAATCTAGAATAAAATTTTTAAAATCTAAAAATGTCATCAAATTAGAAACCTTAGAAGAAAACAAAGAAACAATTAAATAATTGAAAACTTTGTAGGCTAATTAATAATCTCCCTTTTGGTAAATATTTTTACATCAACATAGCAAGATAAGTATTGGACAAAGTTTGTAGAAATTTGGAAGTCACGAACATAAGTTCCAAATCGTTCAATTTAGGGATATAAGTTCCAAACACTCAATTAGGGTTTTATTAACTTTGTGGGGCGATAAATATGTAATTACATAGATTTAAATTATTCCTTTTTAAAAAATAAATTAAATCTAGAATAAAATTTTTAAAATCTAAAAATATCATCAAATTCAGAAACCGTAGAAGAAAACAAAGGCTCCGTTTGGTTCACTTTTTTATACATTTTAGAAAAGTTTTTTGAAAAAAAGTTAAATTGGACGGGTATTATGATGTATGATTTGAAAATTAACAAAAATATTTCTTATGTTTGTTTATTTACTAAACACCCCTATAATAAAATATTAAAAGTTAACAAAAACACTCCAACCCACCCATTAAATATGGACAACCGGCCACCCCCGTCGGAGAGTGGCCGGAGTCGCCATATCGGTGCATGACCGGTTGAATCTTACCGGTCGTGCACCAATATGACCTTTTCCGGCCAGATCCCCCAGATCTAGTCGTAGATCTGGCCTTTGCCGGCCAGATCATGCCATTGACAACTAAATCTGGTCGCATTTGCTCGTCAATGACAGCCAAAGATCTGGTCGTAGATCTGGCCCTTTCTGGCCAGATCCACCGTGGATCTGACAGAAAAAGGCTAGATTGGCGCACTATCAGCTGAATCCAGCCAGTAGTGCGCCATTATACCAGATTTCAGTCATCTTCCGGTAGTGGTGGTCAGAATCTGGTAAATGTGGGTTGCTGGGGTGTTTTTGTAATTTCTAAAAAAATATTTGGGGGTATTTAGTTAAATTAACAAATTTAGGGGGTTTAAAAAAGTTAAATAATATAGAATAATATTGTCAGTTTTTGCAATTTTACTATTTAACTTTATTGAGAATACTAATAATAGTATTCCCAAGAGTGAGCCAAACGGAGCTAAAGAAACAATTAAATAATTGAAAACTTTATAGGCTAATTAATAATCTCCCTTTTGATAAATATTTTTAGGGTAATGCTATTTGTAAAAACTCTTTGTACAACGATAATTTGTACAAACTTACGTGGCACACCACAAAGCATGTCATGTGGTATTAAGATCCACGTAACTTAATGTCACATTAATATTATGTGGGCTCTTATGTCACGTGGCACTCACATTGTGTACCAGGTAAGTTTGTACAAATAGTATTGGCTTCGTTTGGTTGGATTTTGGGAATACTACTTTTAGTATTCCCAAAAAAGTTAAACAGTAAAATATCCAAAAACTCACAATATTATTCAACTTTATTCAACATTTTTTAAACCCCCAAAATTTGTTAATTCAATTAAATACCCCTAAATATTTTTAATGTTTTTGTTACGGCGACTCCGGCCACCCTCCGGCGGTGGTGGCCGACTGTCCGTATTTGAGGGTGGATTGGGGGTGTTTTTGTTAACTTTTAATGTTTTATTATAAGGGGTGTTTTGTAAAAAAACAAACATAGGGGGTATTTTATCAATTTGTAAATCCTCCATCGTAATACCCGTCCAATTCAACTTTTTTTTTAACTTTTTTCAAAAAACTTTTCCCAAAAACACAAAATTGTGAACCAAACAGAGCCATTATCCTTATTTTTATATCGAACCAAAAAAAAAAGAAAAAAAGAAAAAAAAGTCGCTAATAAAATTATTAAACGAAGCCCAAAGGCCCAAATTATTATCGTTAAAGTCTAGAATACCCTCATGATTCCTCTAACTTTACGAAACCGGATCGTGCCAGTGGCTCCAAATTTGAAAATTTGAAATACCAAACCTCGAACGGTCATCAGAATCAAATGTACTTCATCCCAGCCGTTCATCCACTCTACTATCCACCATCCGATCTATCCTCACTCTCATTTCAATTTTTTTCTTTCTAACCAAACACCATTCCTTCATTTCTCTCCAAAGTCCCAAAATCTCGCTTACTTTTTCCTCTTCAAAACCCTGAACATCATTTTCTCTTCTAGAACTTAAACGACATGCCGTTTATATCGGAGACGGCGAGTGCAATAAAGAGCAGGTTCGGTTTCCACAGCCGTTCCGCTTCCTCGGAGACCTTGCCGTCGGTGCGGACATCTCCTGACCTTTCTGTCAAGTCGGCGGTGAGAGAGAATCCTTATGGCCAGTCGCAGACTGCAACGTCTACAGTTCGTAGTATCGGTGACTTGGAGGACAATGCCGCCGCCAGCGCTGGTTCATCTCAGATCTTCGAGGTTAATGAAGATCCATCTTTCTGGAAAGACCACAACGTTCAGGTAAGTTTTGCTCATTTTTATTGAAACTATGTGATTTTCCTTTTGATGCAGTGAACAAGCTTCTAGGCTACATAAATATTATATTATAAATTCTTTTGCCGTTCTTTTTTTTTTTTATATTTTAATTTGGCGATTATTACTTGTAGGTAATTATAAGGATTCGTCCTCTCAGTAATTCTGAAATATCAGCACAAGGGCACAGCAAGTGTATTAGGCAAGAGAGTTGTCAGACAATTACTTGGACAGGGCATCCCGAGTCACGTTTTACTTTTGACCTTGTAGCCGATGAGAATGTCAGCCAGGTACCCTTTTTTTGCTCGTTGGATTATGTTGCTGTTGAATCCTCTTTGGTGTATGGTGTATTTCATTCGAGTAATGTAACAGGAGAAGTTGTTCAAAGTGGCTGGCTTGCCCATGGTGGAGAATTGCGTGGCAGGTTACAACAGTTGCATGTTTGCTTATGGCCAAGTGAGTTTTGTAATTAATTGTATTACTTGATTGAAATTTTTTGTTTTGTTGGTTTAATGTATGTCAAGTTATTTGATTTAGTTTGGTACTTTTCTTACAGACTGGTAGTGGGAAGACTCACACCATGCTTGGAGATATTGAGGGAGGCACCCAAAGACATAGTGTTAATTGTGGGATGACACCAAGAGTCTTTGAACACTCGTTCTTCAGGATACAGAAGGTATTACGTTGGTCAACATAATCAGTTTCTCTATTGTTGATATAGAAAAGGTTAAAGAAACATTAGCAATGAATATGCTTTTCGTGGAACTAAGGATTATTAAAGAATGAAATTGAAATGAATATCTTTTCTGTTACTAATTGGTATATTTAGGGTGTTAGATATCATACTGAATTGGTTATGTGAGTGAAATGATGGCCAATTTGTTTAACACAAATCATTTTCTTAGTTGCTTTTTCTATTTTTGAAGTCACCATCTTCATACATCAAAGTTAAATTTTCTCCTCTGTTCATTTAGTATTAAGTTTTATTGAAGAATCATAGAGCAATTTCCAATGACTAATTTGACTTGCAGGAAATTACCGCCCGCAAAGATGAGAAGTTAAGGTTTATTTGTAAATGCTCATTTTTGGAAATATATAATGAACAGATTCTTGATCTGTTGGATCCGTCTTCCAGCAACCTGCAGGTGTGCATCACTTACATTCCAAGTTAAAGGTTTCCATCTATGTGTCTTTATTTTATGAATTACTATTGCAAAAATCAATTACAAGTGAAAGCACCATTTTTTGCTACAATATCCATGTTTGAACTTCCTAAGTAACTGATTTTATTTATTGGTTCTCTTCTCAATATAAATAGTAATAACGCATGGCAAGGACACCAGTCCAGCTTACATGGCAGTTGGAACAGTGACAGTTTTTGTTGTAAATTCTGGTGTATTGGATAAGGTCATATTTTTTTGTGGCCTTATCAGCAATTCAAGTTACACACTTGCATAATCTATTTTTTCTGTAGTGAGTTTCTTTTAATAATTTATCCATGTTGAAGATACAAATAAATAGCAAGGACTTGATGTGATATTCTCAATTACATGTTTTATATGCTATGAATTATGTTTCTTTAGTTTGTTAATTAGTTAAGTTAAATTTTTTGATCTGGATGTTGCAGATACGAGAAGACATTAAGAAAGGGGTTCATGTTGAGAATCTGAAGGAGATAGAAGTTACAAGTGCTCGGGAGGTGATTCAGCAACTAATTCAAGCAATTATCTTTAACTATCTGCTCTTTGAATTTAATGTGCAGTTATAGATTGTACGGCCTAACAAATAATATTCTGTAGCGCTATATGTATTTGGTGAATATTAAGGTTGTTCTTTGTGTAAGTCCTTTATTGCTGTTCCAGTTATCTTAACCAGGAAACTACATTAGATTTTGTTACCTGATGTTTCCTTCAATTTGTTTTGGAAATGGGACCATGTAAAAAGGTCTAGATAAGAAACAGTTTTCTAAACTTTGGGAATTTATTAGCAGGGGAAATGCAGTGCAATGATCATATTATTCTGAAAGTTTTTCAAAATGAAGCCTTAAGTTATTTTTTATGCTAAAATCATTTGATTGCACCTTCTAGGTTTTTAGTTTCTTATTTCCTCTCTTCCTATTGAATCTTATTATTCATCATATTTCTTTTCTCAACATATTATTGCCTATAGGAAACAGTAATATAAATAGACATTTATTCTTTTTGTATTAATTCAAGTTTTGGGTGAGAGATGGTTAATTAAAACTGAAAATTGTTTCAGGGTGCTGCAAATAGAAAAGTTGCTGCCACAAATATGAACCGTGCCAGTAGTCGTTCTCATAGTGTTTTTACATGTGTAATTGAAAGTAAGGTGTGTAACTGTTTATTAAGTAGTGTTTTTACATGTGTAATTGAAAGTAAGGTGTGTAACGGTTTATTAAGTTATTTTCTTCCGTTTCTATATTTACTTTGAATTCCCAATTATTTTTAGATATATTTTCTTGAATTTAGATTAATGTTAATTTATATGTCTAATTGAATTTTCATTAACAGTGGGAATCGCAAGGTGTAACTCGCCATCGGTTCGCTTGGCTTATTCTTGTTGATTTAGCGGGCTCTGGAAGGTATAAGGATATAGAAAAAGATTTTGAGATTTATAAAGAATCTAAGAGCATCATTCGTATGGATTTCAGTTGTGTTTTTGGTCTGATAACAGGCAGAAAAGTTTGGGTGCTGAAGGAGAACGTCTCAAGGAAGCTACCAATATCAACAAGTCTCTTTCGACATTGGGGTATGTTGTCCTCACCTTTAAACCCTTCTTTGTTAATGAAATATATGACTAGTTTGGTGATTTTAATCTTTTGTATTGATATTAGCAGACTTACAATTATGAACCTTGTAAACGTATCCAATGGGAAGTCCCTCCATGTTCCTTACAGTGATTCGAAGCTTACATTTTTGCTTCAGGTAGACAGTCATTGCAGATTGAAAATAATCTATGAAGCAAATTCTGATACTCTATTGATGGATTATACAACATAAATTGCTAATAATAAAAAATAAGACATATTAGTATTTGATCTGGTATATCATTATTCTTGCTCTCCAATTCCATGCTTTACAAAATCTTGTTCAGTTTGAAGGGTAAGTGACTTTTGTAAAATTCATAGAACCACTTTTCCTTTATATGTGTTTTTCGATTTAAGATGTTCAAAGTTTACTATTATAAGGTTTTGGAGATAGAACCAGAAGTTTTTCTGTTTATATTTCATGGTTTAAGATAGTTTAGCTAATTAGATATTTGGAGGTTTGTAGTTTTTGTGATCATCTATGTTTTTTAAAACATAAATGTGCTATATGCAAATAAATTTCAAACTTTGTTTACTAAGGACTTTTTTAATGTCCAGTATATTCTGAAGATATGCAACAGCATATCGAATTCTCAGTATCATTGTTTTGTTTTCAGGATTCAGTTGGAGGGAATTAAAAAACAACGATAATTGCAAATGTCAGTCCATCCAGTTGGTCAGTTGTAGTTTGTGCATCCATATGCATAAAACTGTTTAAGAATTCTGGAAGTAACTTCTGCTTTTGAAATTTCTTGTAAAAATTGCATTTTTAGTTGAAATCAGTTCACGTTAGATATTTGTTTCAACAAGCTTGATTTGTCGTTTACATGCTGATACATGACAAATTTTTGGGTCGCTTGCAGTTGTTCACTGGAGACACTTAGCACTTTGAAGTTTGCACAATGTGCCAAGTTTATTAATAACAATGTATGTGAGCGTGACTGGTCAGTTTTCTTATTATTTTTTGGTTTAAGTCAAGAAATGTAGAAGGCTATGACATTCAAGACTTTGCGTGCACATACGCGTTTATGTTTATGTGGCTTATCAAATTAAAACATTCAATGTTGTTGCTGGTTGTTCTTCTTCTCTCTATTTTTTTTTTTTTCTTTTTCGGAAGAATAGGTAAAGTCATTACGGGATCTTTAATTGGGGTTTCACTAATACTTTTAGCTTTTATTTCTTGCTCATGGAAATTTACTTTTAATTTTCTGCAGGCAATTGTAAATGAGGATGCTTTAGGTGATGTTATTTCTATGCGATTGCAGATTCAACAGCTCAAGGTATTGTGCTTAATTTTTTATTCTTCCCATTGCTTGATTATATTCTGGAAATGGAGTAAAGTGGTTTGCGTAATTTTAGTTTTTATGTAGTGGCTTTTCTGACTTGATGTTTGTCTCACAAGATAAAGTTTTGTTTTTTGAAGTACGAATTGATGTAATATAGCTTATTGGAAATTTTGGACAAGAATCATTTCTCTTTCTCAAGAATTTACTTACTGCTCATTTTGGTAAGTTACTATTTAAAATTATCCATCGAATGACTAAGCTAAAAATCTTCTAAGCTATAAAATTGATTAGTCTTTTTTGCTGAACTACAGAGTGATAATTAATTTATTCCTAGATGAAATCACTGTATTATATTTAACATTGTTTTCATTTGGCTCTTAAGAAAGAAATTATCAGTATTATATTTAACAATGTTTTCCCTGGCCCAAAAGTTCTGTTTGTTATTGTCTTATCTCATTTTTGAATATTTTGATTTGCTCTTACATACCTCAACTGTAATTTTATTTTTTCAGAGAGAAGTATCTTTCTTACAGGGTCTAGTAAATGGAGGAGCTGAAAGTCTGGTTAATGATACTTCTATCGTAAGCTTTCCATGCTCTCCAGGATCCTTTAAGTGGGAAGGGCTTCATGGATCCTTTAGTCCACTTACATTTGATAAAAGGATGTCCTAGGTGAGCTCCGTAATTTTTTTGAAATATAAGAAATCATCTGTTTGGTACGTTTTGCTTATCAGTTTGTTTGTCTCACCAGTTTTTTTCCTTTCTACAGAAGAAAGACTATGAGCTTGCACTTGTAGGGGCTTTCAAGAGGGAAAAAGAGAAAGACAAAGCTTTGCAGGCTTAGGCTGCAGAAAATCAGGCAACTATACGATTGGTGTGCCCAAGAGAAATGCCCTATCTTTTTTAAGTAAATTAGAACTGCAAACAAACTGCCATAGATCAGTTTTTTATGTATTTATTTAACTACAAGTATAAGATTAGGTTTGGCTAGTAATCTGTTTAAGGGGAACCATATATATCTAAATAATAGTCTACTATACATTCTGAAGATACCGTGTGTTATGCCTGAAAAAGTAAGGCTGACGCAGAGTCTTGTCAACATGGGGTGGTTAGAACTTAGGAAGGTTCCGTAACTGTTCAGAAGCGGCCGCGTCGCATGATGACGTGAGTAGCATGCCCCTGTCAATGTAGTGGGTGAACGTCAGGTCAGCGAATAGTTGGAAATCGTCCATGTGTCCAATCCCTGCACAAGTCAAGTAAATCACTCGGGCAGGTGAGGAATGGGACATAGAGAAGGATTTGCACGGTACCCACCCATTTGCAGATTTAGTAATCATTACCTTGGTTCATCCCACTATAAGTAGGGGACTTCTCTCTATTTTGCGGGATGGACTAATTCCACTCTGGAATAGCATACCTTCTTTCTCTCTCTTGTACTCTCTAAGCTGTAACTCAGCTCGTTGAACACGACCTGACCTTACTCTCGTTAATACAATATCAGTGGACGTAGGATTCGCCTTTGCTGAAGTGCCGCCAGACCAACAAAATATCGTGGTGGATATCCCTTTAAGCTCACGGCTTGATCCAGTCGTCATGAGTTACCTAGAGAGGTTCAACAATACTCTCCAAACAGTCAGCCAAAGGTTAGACCAATTGGATCGGGTCGTGCTACCTGAATCCAATGAGACGGTGCAATCGCCGAAAACACCTACAGGTCGCGTGAAAGCGTGGAAAAAGGGCAAAAGCCCATACCGCGCACTGCAGCGTGTCAAAGAAGGGAAAACAAGTGGCGCATAGCTGACCTAAAGGCTCTAAGGGACCATTGCGACTCAGTAACATGTCATGGTTAGAGCCGTCCCGCGCCACGTCGCACGAGCACTCCCACACCCACAAAAGTGCAAGGTAAATGACGACTTTGATCGTCGTCGTGCAGGGGATTCCCACCGTCCGCGGATTCCCCGAACCACTCAATGTCATCACACGGCTCCAGCCAGCGTGTGTCGAGATTGGTCGAAACTGCCAACCGAGGCGAGGAGGAATCCGACTTACGGTCTTTCCTCAACCGCAATCGTGAGGGTCGAACCCTCATTACGGAAAGTGATAGCTTCGCTGCCTCAAATTGAGGAACTACAGCGAGTTCTGGATCAGCTTAAGACTCAGCGAAATGAGCAAAGGCAGGTCGTAGAGGCGTCTCCCTTTTCTTCAGCAGTGTTAGCTTCTCTCCTCCCGTCAAGATTTAGAATGCCCGACATGCGAGCAGTCGATGGGAATTCCGATCTGCAGGATCACCTGTACGAGTTTAACGATGTCATAGAGCTTCACCAAGTCTGACTTAGTAAAATGTCGTTGCTTGGTAGTAACCCTTACCTTCCATGCCATGGTTCAGGTCTCTCCCAATAGGATCAGTCAGCTCGTGGCCTCAAATGAGCTAATATACTCAAGGCCAACGAGAGGTTCGAATGGACTCCCAAGTGCGAACAGGCATTCCAGAGCATTAAAGAGCACCTTGGGAAGCCACCTCTTCTGTCCAAGCCTCTCCCTCAAGAAATTCTTCTTCTGTATATGTCCGTCTCTCAGTATGCAGTCAGTGTAGCTCTAATTCGGGAAAAAGATAGGATCCAATGGCCAATATATTACGCGAGCAGACGTCTGCTAGACACCGAAGTGCGGTATCCAGAAATGGAGTGATTAGCTTATGCCCTACTAATCACCTCTAGAAAGTTACGACATTATTTTCACGCCCACACAATCCATGTATTGACCAACTATCCGCTCAAGCAAGTCCTCCAAAAACCAGAGGCTTCAGGTAAGTTGCTCAAGTGGGCTAGGATTAGTCAGCTCGTGGCCTCAAATGAACTAATATACTGAAGGCCAACGAGAAGTTCGAATGGACCTGAGTGTGAACAGGCATTCCAGAGCATTAAAGAGCACCTCGGGAAGCCACCTTTTTTGTCCAAGCCTCTCCCTCAAGAAATTCTTCTTCTGTATCTGTCCGTCTCTCAGTATGCAGTCAGTGCAGCTCTAATTCGAGAAGAAGATATGATCCAATGGCCAGTATATTACGTGAGTAGACATCTGCTAGACGCCGAAGTGCGGTATCCAGAAATAGAGTGATTAGCTTATGCCCTACTGATCACCTTTAGAAAGTTACGACCTTATTTTCACGCCCACACAATCTATGTATTGACCAACTATCTGCTCAAGCAAGTCCTCCAAAAACTAGAGGTTTCGGGTAAG